CTGGTTGCCCACCACGAAGTGGAAGAGCCGCTGTTTGTCCAGGCTGTGCTGCAGCATGTACAGCACTTCCCGAACCCGGTCGGACAGCTGCCCCCCGGCCCAGCTCTCAGGGTCGCCCTGCGAGAAGAGCACGTGCAGGAAGGCCGTCTTGATGTGGAAGGAGCTCAGGAAGGAGGATACCGGACCCCTGGAGCTGTTGGGCAGGGGTGGGGCGCAGCCTCCTGTGCAAGAGGCGTGGATGTAGGCCAGGATCTGGAGGCAGCGCATGTGACAGCTGTCGGGGGGCAGCCTTTGGGTCATCTCCTGCAGAAAGCGGGCCTCGTAGACGGCGAACCACTGGACCCAGTGCAGGGGGGGCCGGAACACGGGCCCCTGGGTGACCAGGTAGACGTCGGAGCCTTCCAGCCTGACGGCTGGCAACACGTTCACCCAGAGCGCCTGGCCGGAGCCGTACTCCAGCCGCAGACGGCAGGGGCAGGCCGCCTCCCCGAAGAGCAGGTTGAAGTTGGCCTGCTGGGTCCAGCCCTTCCTCAGCGCCGCCCCCAGCCACTGCAGCATGCCAGTGGGGTCCAGGTGCTCCCCGGAGCGCAGGCCCTCTTCCAGCAGGCAGTCCAGGCTGTCCTTCCTTTCCGCCGCCAGCCTGCGCACATCGGAGCTGGGCGGGGGCGGGGGCCGACTGGCCCCCATCACTCGCACTCGGCCCTGTCCCAGGTGCTCGGGGAGGGCCAGCCAGGAGCCGGGCCAGAACCCTTCCCCGTAGCCCAGCTCCACGCGGAAGGACAAGCCCGCGGGCGCGCTGATGGCCACCAGCACGTCGTACACGGGCTCCAGCTTGCCCCCTCGAACACCCCAGCCCTCGAACAGGCTTCCCACGCCCACGCACTCCTCCCTCAGGACGTCCACGCCTGCTTGGCCAAAGCCCTTGGCTGTGCGGAGGAGAGAGTCCACTAGGCCCCGTACAACACTGCCGGCGCCCCACACGGCCCCGTCCCTTCCAGCCTGGCTCACTTCAGCCTTGTAGAAGGCCTGCAGGGACTGGACACACGGCCAGGGCGTCCGCTCCTTCCTGTGCTCCTCTTCCCTGAACGCCACCCTTTTCTTGCTTTTCTTCTTGACATCTCTTTCTGC